AGAGAGAGAGAGAGAGAGAGAGAGAGAGAGAGAGAGAGAGAGAGAGACTGTGCTACCTTTCCTCCTCCCTCGCTTTTTAAGAGGTCACGTATCCCCAAAGAAGACCGTGCCCATCAGGCCGACCCACTCCATTCTATTCATCATTAGACCGAATGGCCAAATTCCCACAACAATCAGGACTTTTATATTTTGGTTGTGAGCCATCACTCCAGCCCCAGGGCTTTAAATAGGAAAAATTTGATGCAGTCATGTTCGTTTACCCAGTATGTTTCAATGTATATTTCCCTAGAGGACAAATCTTTTTTATACATCACACTTATCAATATTGTTATAATAATTTATTCCAGTTTGTGGATATTTTTCTCTTTTGGTTTTTTGAGGGGCCCACCACCCATCTCACAAATAAATCACACAGAGGCTTATTATTACTGTGAGTGCCCAGCCTTTGCTTGGCTTGTTTCTTGCAAACTTTTTTTTAATCTTAAATTATCCTGACTACCTTTTTCCTCTGGGCTTTTATCTTTCTTACTTCTGTATATCTTACTTTTCTTCTTACACTGTGACTTGCTGGGTGTTTGGTCCAGATGTCCTCCTCTCCTTTTCCTCCTCGTTCTCATTTCTCCTTTTATTTATTCTCTCTGCCTGCTAGTCCTGCCTATCCTTGCTCCTGCCTCACTATTTGCCATTTATCTCTTTATTAGGATCATCAAGTAACAGGCACAGTAACACAGCTTCACAGAGCTAAACAAATGCAGCCTTAGCTAAAAGTTACACACCTGGAAATAATATTCCCTAACACTATCCCTTAGGCATTTACTTATCTCTTTATCTAGAGACAGGGTCTCACTGTATTACCACAACAGCCTGCCAAGTGTTGGGATGCACCACTGCACACAGCCCAGTAATGTTCTTTTGTTGTTGTTATTTTGTTTCTGTTTTTCCAGACAGGGTTTTTTTTTTTGTTTTTTTTTTTTGTAGCCCCGACTGTCCTGGCACTCACTCTGTAAACCAGTCTGGCCTCGAATTCACAGAGCTCCCCACCTGTCTCTGCCTCCTGAGTGCTGGTATTAAAGGCATGCACCACCACCAGGCTTTAATAATGTTCTTATAGCATTTTTGTTTCCTGCTTTAAGACTAGTGTTTTTCTAGTATTGTTATATTTCTTTAGCATCTTCAAATATGGAACATCTCCAGTCTCCTTAATTGGTCTCTTTTCCCTTGGTCTCCTCTACTGGTTCTCTGTTACTATTCTGAGGCTGTGACTCTTGGCTAGAATCTGAATAGGAAGAGGTATGTCCTCCTCAGCACCTCTCCTCTGTTCATTACTCCATTGGTGACCATCCAGGCTTGGTGTTTGCTATATTTACACTGAGTTGCTGTTTCCCACTTCCTTTATATCCAATAACCTGTGGACAATCACTTTCTGACTGAAAATGTCCTGCTTCTCGTCAGTTTTTTTGTTTGTTTGTTTTTTAGATTTGGTGACATGCAATAATTCTGCCTGCTTTGGTTGGAAATGATCACCTGGTCTAATGCCCTCCCTACTCAGTTGGCCATTGGCACTCTGCTTGAACAGCTGCCATCCTCCCTTCATGGGCATAGGGTTGTTTGTTTATCCATTTTTTTGTCTGTAAGGACTTCAAGGTTCTTGGGTTTTGTTTTGTTTTTTTTATAAATTATTTTGGTGCTCAAATTGTCACCAGGAAAGATATGTTTAAGTGATGAAAAGTGAATGATTTTTTTATTGTAAGTAATCAATTGCTAATTTTCTTTAGTAAGAATAAATTCTAAAATTTAGTTGCCAGCTACTTGTTTTTTGGTGGTAAACAGAAAGGGCCGAGATGGTACAAATACTTATTGTTAAAAAACTTAATTTCAGGGGCTGGAGAGGTGGCTCAGAAGTTAAGAGCACTGCCTGCTCTTCCAGAGGTCCTGAGTTCAATTCCCAGCAACCACATGGTGGCTCACAACCATCTGTAATGAGGTCTGGTGCCCTCTTCTGGCCTGCAGGCAGACATACAGACCATACAGATGGAACATTGTATACATAATAAATAAATAAGTCTTTTTAAAAAAAAAAAACCTTAATTTCAACACATTTTAAGCTTTCACCACTTGTTCTCGTCTTCATCCTCAGCTATTTGGTGATGTTTGTTTCCACTGCAACCGCGTCATAGAAGGTGATGGTATGTATCTGTGAGGGGTGGGACACCGGCACACTTGGGTGGAATGACGTGAAAGAAGCTGATGGGCTGTGATGTGGTCGTTATCAGTTGTTTCCTCTTGGTATGCTTCTCAAGTGCTCTACAGCAGAGAGATGGGCTGACGAGGCAGAACAGCTGCTGTAAGCTGTGTACCGAGTTGCTAGGCCTTGCTGCGTGGGCTCACCAGGCAGGACAGGTTGGCTACAACATGGGAAAAGCAGCTGTGTTTGCTAATGGTCACTAACCAGCCCTGCCAGAGTTCTAAACAACACTGTTTACTGCATGCTTTCTGATTCTCAGTAGACATCACCTAATCAGGAAATGCTTTGTGGAAAACTGCAGTTAGTAGCAAGGTTAGTCCGGGAGCCATCTTTAGTGCCGTGGCAAATCAGCTTAACTGTGGAGACACTTGAAAGGACAAAGGAAGTTACATTCTTTGTGTCATCTTTCAAATACCCCTCACAGTCAGATAAAGTCTGATATTTAAAATTTTTTATCTGATTCATATTTCTTTGGTGGGCCAACAGCAGTAGAGACAACAAGAGAGCTTGTTGGTTGTCAAGCCTTGTCAGGAAAGCTCATCAGAGCAGCATGGGACAGGTGGGCTACTGTCCACATTGCTGAGAGGGGATAGTATTTGGTGTCTCCAATTTGTAAGTAAAGAAAAATTAAAAGCCAAAACGGGCAAAATGGGGCTTGGGTAGATATGTGTGTGACCATGAGAGCAGACTTCTGTCCTTAACACTGTCAGTGCTGCCTGCACGGTGCCAGAGCGGCAGGGCTCACCAGAGCAGACTGACTGGCTGTAGTGGCTGCTCTGAGTTCAACTAAGAGACCCTTTTCTCAATTAATAAGATAGAGAGTGATCAAAGAAAATTCACGTGTTAATCTCAAGCTTTTCTTCGCATAGATCCACACACATCTGTGCACCCACACATGCACCATACACAAAGACAAATGTGAAAAAGAAAAAATGGCTTAAATTGAAACCTATCTCTTTTTGGTTTTTTGAGACAGGGTTTCTCTGTGTAGCAGCCCTAGCAGTCTTGGAACTAGTTCTTGTAGACCAGGCTGACCCCAAACTCATGGAGATCCACCTGCCTCTGCCTCCTGAGTACTGGGATTAAAGGCGTGCGCTGGTGAAACCTATCTTTTTTTTTTTCTGGTTTTTCAAGACAGGGTTTCTCTGTGGCTTTGGAGCCTGTCCTGGAACTAGCTTTTATAGACCAGGCTGGCCTCGAACTCACAGAGATCCACCTGCCTCTGCCTCCTCAGTGCTGGGATTAAAGGCATGCGCCACCACCATCCGGCCATCCTATCTTTTTAATAATGTTTTAAAAAAGTAGCTAGGCTTGGTGGCACATGCCTAATCCCAGAACTCAGAAGGCAGACACAGGCAAAGGTCTATGAGTTTGAGGCCAGCCTGGTCCACATATAGTGAGTTCCAGGACAACCAAGAGCAACATAGACCCTACCTCAAAAATCAAACAAAAGTGAAAAAAATAGCCATAATAAAAAAATAGATTTGTTGAAAGCATGTTAATAGCATTGAAGGTTGTTTTTTTTTTTGACTGTGTTTTTGCAAGAAGAAAGACCTCTTACTATCCCTGGTGATACACATGTGTAATTCCAGAATCAGGGAAGCTAAGGTAGGGAGATCAGGAGTTCACTCTAGCCTGGACTACAGAGTAGGACTCTGTATCAGAAATAAAGGAACCTCTCAAGAAAGAAGGCTTGAGCTCCTCCTCCAGGTACCTGGGAACAGCCTTCTTTGTTCTTTAGGGTTGAAAACTGAAGCCCCTTTTTCCATGCTCCCATGTGACTGGGTCTTTTTTTTCCCCTAGTGGTCTCTGCGCTCAACAAGGCCTGGTGTGTGAGCTGCTTTGCCTGTTCCACCTGCAATACCAAATTGACGCTCAAGTGAGTCCTTAGTCCAGCCCATCTTGGCTGCTCAAGCTAGAAGTTTTCAGATGCCATTTAGACTCTAACAAGGGAAGTGATTGATGCCTGTCTCTTCTTTCTCCTGAGTCCTGCTAAATGTAAATGTTCTTCTTTAATTGTTCCTGTTCTGTCCCTTCTTTGTTCTACTCAAAGGGATAAGTTTGTTGAAATTGATCTAAAGCCAGTCTGCAAATACTGTTATGAGAAAATGCCAGAAGAGTTTAAGAGGCGACTTGCCAAACGGGAGAGAGAAGCAAAGGATAAGGACAAGCAGAGAAAGCGAAAGCCAGTGTGTCTGTAAACGTTCTGTCCTTTCCACGTCATTCTCATTGCTTCTCCTGTGGTTAGTCTTTTAGGATTCTGTTCTTTTCTGCTTGTTGTTTTGTTCTTCTTCTTCTTTTTTTTTTTTTTTTTTGCATGTTTTTGTGGCCATCAGAGATTGAAATACTTGTCCTGTGTAGAGTTGGTTCTTTTGCCTATTACAAGTATAAAACTTATAATGACATCCATACTTAACAATGGCTTGTGTGCACATGCTTGTCCCATCTGTGGGCATAACTAAACCATTTTCTCAATGTTTTCTTAGAACAAAAGCCATTTTGTGGGCAAAAGTTTAAATATTCCTACTTCAGTCAGGTGGCACATACATTTAATCCCAGCACTGAGAAAGCAGAGGCAGGCAGATCTCTGTGAATTTAAGGCCAGCCTGGTCTACATAGAGAGTTCAAACAAACAAAATTACCACAAAACAAATAGTCAACTTAATGTGCTTCAAGATGCATTAAGATTTCAGCACATTTTGTAATTGTCATTCGTGACAGTATACCACTAGGCTTGCTCTACATGCTTCCTGAGTAGAGCTTCACAACAAATGAACAAGTTATAAAGTTATATACTAACCCAAACTACAGATCTTGGAATTCAACAATAAGGAGCTCCAGCAATTAGCTTTGTGAGTGCATTAAAGATGGAGACCATCTCAGAGTTCTTTTCTCCAGAGCTGTTTACAAGTAGATTGATAACTATGTGTTGTTCTAGCTTTGAAAGAAGAATCATGTTCTCACTTTAACTACCACTTAAGGAATACTTAGTGTTACCTTAATGTTGATAACCAGCTTTTTTTTCTCAATAGCTAAAATAACCTATTATGATTTAAACTCTTTTTTTTTAAATTTAGGTGAGTTCTTAAATTAGGAGATAGAGAAATCATTTGTACAGGAAAGATAAAACCTCACAGCTGCCTTATTTAAAATACTAAATAGTAATATCCTTTTACCTTCAAAAAGTAAGTCACTTACATTATAAAAACCAGTTCTTTTTTTAAAATAAATTTATTGTTTGAATAAATGTATTGGTGACAGGCATGGTAGTTCACACTTACAATCTCAACATTAGGGAGGCAAAAACAGGAAATCACCATGAGTTCTAGGCCAGCCTGGGCTCTAGAGTGAGACTGTCTCCATAAACAGTCGGAGAAGAGGCACTGAAAAGAAGAGACCATTAGCCTGACACTTTTAAATGTGATCGACTTAACTTGGGCTGAAGAGATGGCTCAGTGATTAAGCACACTTGCTGCTCTTTCAGAGGACCCAGGTTCAATTAACTCCTGTCCCAGAGATCCAACACCATCTTCTGACCTCCACGAATACCACCTAGTGCACAGGCACATGTGCAGGCAAAATACTCATACACATAAAATAAATAAATCTAAAAAAATAAAATAAAATTTGCCGGGCTGTGGTGGTACATGCTTTTAATCCCAGCACTCAGGAGTCAGAAGCAGGCGGATCTCTATGAGTTCAAGGCCAGCCTGGGCTGTAGAGCTACTTCCAGGACAGGCCTTAAAGCTACAGAGAAACCCTATCTCAAAAAACCAAAATAATAATAAAATAAAATAAAAAATCCTGGAACACTTAGTAAGATTTAATAAACATTCCATGTTCTAAATGTAGTTGTATAGGGTCATTATATAAGTATTTTTTTAACTGATACCGTTCATTTTTGGTTGTTTTGTTTGTTTTTATTTCCAGACAGGGTTTATCTGTATAGCCCTTGCTGTTCTGGAACTCTCTTTGTATGTTGGCCTCGAACTCACAAACATCGGCCTGCCTCTGTCTTCCAAGTGCTGATATTAAAGGCTTATGACACCATTGCCTGATTTACCAATCTTTCTATACATTTACTACATTAAGAATTGAAATTAGAATTATAATTCTTTACTGACATGAATATAGATATTTTATATAGTGTGTTATATGGTATCTTATTTATACGTAGTTTAGCGAATTCATATCACATTATCTGTGTGTGTGTGTGTGTGTGTATGCTAGGTACATTTTCACTAATTTTTTATATATAATTATCTTTAGGAACAAATTTGTGGAGTTTGACATGAAACCGGTCTGCAAGAAATGCTATGAGAAATTTCCATTGGAGCTGAAGAAAAGACTTAAGAAACTAGCTGAGACCTTAGGAAGGAAGTAACTTCTGGTTTATCCAATATTACTTAACTTGATTCACCCTTAACTAAAGATGTATCAAAGCATTAGAGAGAATGTTTTTTTTTTCATTTTCCTTTTCTGATTTAAAAAGAAAAAAAAATGTTTATTCCTATGTAAAACACAGATGTAAAACACAGGACTTTAGCCTTAGCAGTCTGTGGACATTAAATGCTGTATAGCAGGATTAAAAAAAAGAAAGAAAGAAAAGAAAAGAAAAAAGAAAACATGTTAAAGGATAATTTTAATTAACCCCTGTCCTCCAAATAAATTTAACTCTTCAAAATTAAAGCACTCTGCTCGGCACCAACGCTGGGTCCATGTGGAAAGAGAACTCGCTCCCACAAGCTGTCCTCTCACCTCCACAGCCACCTGAGTCCTAGGCCAGCCGGGCTGTGTGGTGAGCCTTGTTTCCAAGAACGAAAATTGGCTGTGCACATCACAGGACCTGTGTGCTAGTATCTGTGCTTCATACATACTCTGACTTGCCTCGCCTTAGAAAACTGCATCCCCTAATCAGGAATGCTACATGTTTCATATAATACCAAATAAAAATAAATACTTTAAGATTTATAAAGAGTCAGCTTTTACGTGGCTCAGATTTTAAAAGACTCCAAACTTTACTTTCTTTTATCTCATAAGAAAATATTTTATTGGGCTGGAGAGTTGGCTCAGCGGTTAAGAGCACTGGCTGCTCTTACAGAGGTCCTGAGTTCAATTCCCAGAAATATATGGTGGCTCACAACCATCTGTAATGAGATCTGGTGCCCTCCTCTGACCTGCTTGTCTACCTGCAGGCAGAACACTGTATACATAATAAATAAATAAAATCTTAGGGAAAAAAAAAAAGAGAAAAATTTCTCACTCATATACTGGAAAAGGCTCTAAGAAAGATAAGTAAACTACCAAAATAATTCCTATGCACTCCTAGTGTGCTTATCCAGTTAGTGTTGTAAAAGGAACATGCGTATTACTAAGAAGCAAAAATATTTCAAAAAGACTTGAATTTTTGTCAAATCACTATGCTTAATTTTCTGTTTTGTTCTCCTTATGAGCTTCTTTCTTTGTACAGTTACTTAATACAGTTGCTGTAACTACTGGTATGTCTTTTACATTATTGAGCGAAACAAACAAAGCTATACCAGTTATCTTGAAAATACTGCACACTTTGTGATATTGGGAAAATGAATCATTTAAAAATATGTTATACAATTATGCTTTTAAGCTAATGTAAAATATGTAGTATTCAAATAGGACATGAGATGAACTATTATGCAGCTTGGAATGTATCACTTTCAAAAGTGGGTGTGAGTCAGGGATGGCAGCACTGGCCTTTAATCCCTGCACTCTGGATGCAGAGGAGGACTGACCACTGAGAGTCCTGGGCCAGCCGAGGACTCTTGTTTCAGAAAATGTGGCTGTGCATGTCACAGGACCTGTGTGCTAGTATCTGTGCTTCATACATACTCTGACTTGCCTCGCCTTAGAAAACTGCATCCCCTAATACCAAATAGAAATACTTTGAGATTTGTAAATTTAGAATCGTTCATCACTGATAAACTTTAAAAATTCTTTCTCAGGAAGCCAGTGGAAACTAACACTTGTCCTCTTATTAGAATGATGTTGATACATGTTTTAGGTTTTTTCATTTCAAATGTTGTAATTGGGTTTTATCTACTATAAGATAGTAAAAAGATATAAATAATACTTTCAGATTGAAAGAGAGTGGTAAGAATATTAACTTCAGGTAAAACCCAGTTCTATTTTATGAAAGTTTTTATCCTGAAATGATTGGACCATTCTTTTTGTATAAAATCAATATGCAAAAATATGAACACTTTAAAGATGTTTCTGTTGCTAACATGTTACTTTTATTTTCTAAGTTACCAAGATATCTATAGCCAACATTGCCGGGTATGGTGACTCACACTGTCGTCTCTGCACTTAGGAGACAGGAAGATTGCCATGAGCTGGAGGCCAGGCCTAGTTACAGTGTGAGATGCTGTCTCCCAAGACATCCCCAGAAACAACAACTCGAGTATATCGTTTTGCCATGAAGCCTATCTCAGGGGCCTAGGAAATAACTCAGTCAGTAAAGTACTTGGACGTTAGGGCCTGAGTTTGACCTGGAAGTGAGCAGATCCCCTGTACTCACTGGGTTGCTACCCAGCCTAACTGGTGAGCCCCAGATCTAAGGGGCTCTTGCTTCATTCTCTGAAATGAAGCAAGGTGGATGGCTCCTGAGGAATGACACCCAAGATTACATCTGGCCTCCACATACACATATACTTATCACACATTCAGAAATATATACTCACACATATATACAAAAAAGGATATCTCAGGATGCTATTACTCTGCCATTAAAATGTTTGTAATCATGAATTTTTTTAAAATACTTGGTTATGCACATTATGGAATGAATACATTTCTGCTTTCAGATAACTAACTTGTAGCCAGTTACTTTATTTTTTAATTTTCTTTTGGGATTAAGAAAATTTTAAGTGATTAAAAACAATACATGCTTTGTGTTTGTTTAGTAGTTTAAAATTGTTTTTGACAATAAGAACCAAAATACTTCAGTGTGCCTTTATCAGCTAATAATGACAAGCAATGAGTATCTTAAGTGTATTTATGGAGTATTATTATACACGCATTTAGGCAGTAGAATTTGTAGTCTAAGGTCTTGATGCTAAGTTCTTCTGTACCTCACTAGCTATATGAAGCAGAAAAGCAAGCATTCACATGCTTCCCCCATCACTTTGGAGATGCATGGCCTAAGCCATTGCTTACACATCTTACATGTCATCCTTAGCCAGAGTCCCCGCTGCTGTCTTTGCTCAGTCCTCTTCAGACAGGAGTACTCATCAAGTTTGACTTGGTGGTTATATGATACTTCATCAAGAGATGGTGCTTCTCTCTGTAGGGGGTATCTTTGGAGCCCTTAGTGCAGAAGAAGATGGAGAGGTGTAAGTGGGGCAAAGACAGACTTGGTCCAGTTCCTATTTGTTGTTGGGTTCACTGGCTGCTGGCATTTGCTAGTGGACATCTCTGTTTGAATTTTTAGGGGCAATCTGAAATAATTTATTGTGCTTATCAAATTTTTAAGTGCCCTTAAAATTTTTGTCTTTACTTCTCCTAATGTAATGGGGAAAATGAAAACACAGAAAATATTTTGTGTGTCATGTTCAAAGCCTTATTAACACTGTCTGAAATAGGTCATTTTGCCTCATCCATTTGCCAAAGTAGCCAAATCCAAGTTAAGAAAACTTTGACATAGGCTGACAATATTCTTGTTAGAGTGTAAGCTTAATGGCTGGAAATTATATCAATAATTGTGCTTTTTAAGTAGCAACCATTGCTGTATACTTTTGGTGCTTAATAAATGTTCATAATTATTTATAATGTGTTATGTGTCATTTAGTTTGACCTCTTTGAAGACTCAAATATTCAGTGTAATATAGTAATATAGTAAATATTCACATATGTGGGCAAAGGCTCCTTGCAGGAGTGTAGACTAACCCCAAAACAACTGCATCACAGCCGAGTCACACTTAGCATAGGACAACCTCCCCAAAGCTGCGTAAATGGAGCCTGCACCCTTAGTTACCTTTTCTCCTGCCTATTCTAGCACTCCTCACAGCCGTGTGCACTGGGGCTGAATCACATGCATCTAGGGGTGTATTGTGCAAGAGGGAATGAGTGGCTGGTATCTCAGGTGAGGGCCTAATGACCTCCCTGACTCCTGCTGTGAGGAAACTAAGCAGCCTGTCTTGCTCAGGAGCTCTTGTGGGTAATCTGTAGCTTTGATTAAGATGATGCGTGCTGGTTTACTCCACGGCTAGCATTCTACAATGCCACAGAAGGTGTTGGATGTCAGGATAAATGCTAATGTTTTTCAGTTCTGGGGACCTATCCTAGGCCTGGCCTTGTGCTGCTAGATATACCAATTTATTTTCACATTGACCAGGTGCCTGACAAGAAGCAACTTAAGAGATGAAGAATCTCTCGTCATGAGAAAATATGTGTCAGCTTGCTCACATCTGAGCAGATGAAGAAGTAGAGAGAGGCCTCCGCTGGAATCCGGCCTAGGTTCTAACCCCTAAGACCTACCCACTGGAGGGGCCCTGTGGAGATAGTCAGCCATAACAGGGATCACTCTGCCTCTGAACTGAATGCCTAACTGATATTTTTCATGTCTTTTTTAATTTTATGTATATGAGTGTTTTGCCTGTATGTTTATATGGGCATCACGTGTATCACTGGTTCTGGAAAAGGAGTTCCCATCTAATTCCCCTGGAACTGGATGGTTATGAGCAACCACATGGCTGCTGAACCCAGGACATCGTCAGGAGAAATAAATGCTCTTTATCACTGAGCCGTTTTTCCAGCCCCCGTTTTTTTATATCTTGACATATATCTGAACATAAAATCTAGGCACCTGCACCATGCCTGTCGGGAAGATGCTCACAGTCAGAGCATTTCTCTCCCAGTATTCAACCTTTCTTTGACAAAACTGCTTTCAGTTTGCTACACTTGGGAGCTCCCTTAGGTTCTGAATTGACCATGCATCTCTTTTCCTCCCTCTCAGATGTCTCCATGTGGCACAATGGCAGGACTGCTGGAAAGGGGAGGCTTCTTGGGAAAGCTGTATGGTATGAGAAGTGGGAACTTGTGAGGGAGGAGGCCAGCAGTGGACCTCCCATGCCTTCTACTTACCGTCTCCTACACCGGCATCTGTCTAGACTCCCAAGCTAACAAGGTGACTACATACAGTCCAGCTAGCTGCCCCCTCATCCCTCCGCTCCAGAATTCATCAAACAGCTGTGGAAAGATCCGTGAGACTTGTCCTCTGCCCCTGACAGTGCCGCCCACTTCCAGGTTGAGCAGCTTCCCCGGCAGTCTAGACAATACAAGGATGACACCCTGTTTTAAAACGGGGGACATAGCCAGGCGGTGGTGGCGCGCATGCCTTTAATCCCAGCACTTGGGAGGCAGAGGCAGGCAGATCTCTGTGAGTTCAAGGCCAGCCTGGTCTACAAGAGCTAGTTCCAGGACAGGCTCCAAAGCTATAAAGAAACCCTGTCTCAAAATCTCAAAAACAAACAAACACAAACAACAACAACAAAAATGGGACAGGGGTTAAGTGCAATAGACAGGTGGAGTGTCAAAGACTGTGGTCTTTACGCTACTTTTGTTTACTTTGTAATGAGGTGACCTGTATCGCCCAAGCTGACCTTGGACTCCTAGGTTCAAGCAGTCCTGTTTACTGCCCACGACCCCAAGACTCTGGAACTACAAATACACTGATATACCTAGCTCAAAACAAACTTCTTATTTAATAATACAGTGAAAGTCTGTGAACTGAGGTCAGGTAACAGTTACTGAAAAACAGAACTTGAAGCCCTGGCAGGGAAGGTTGTCCAGGCCAGGAGCATTGCAGTCAGTCCTGGGGTGAAGGAGTCAGGTCTCAGATGACTGACAGGGAAAGAGGCCGGTGCTGTGGAATTTACATTTAGCTGCTCAGAATATGCACTCTGATTACATGAAATGCCTTGATCAGTGGTTGCTAG